CAAAGAGAAAAGTACAATCACGTATTTTCTCATTTACCAATCTTAAATATTTTAAAATTGTGGGGGTGTAGGTAATTTTACTTAATTACTTGAAGAAATAAATTTGATTTTTCACCTAATGATTTTGATAAATGTATGTACTCTAAATTTGAAAATGGTGATTGTGTCATTATATGTTTGTACGTGGATGACATGTTAATTTTTGGTACATGCAATGAGATTGTTGCTAGAACTAAATTGTTTCTAGGATCAAACATTGAAATGAAAGACATGGGTGAAGCCAATGTAAGTGTAGGTGTTAGAATCATAAGGAAGGGATATAGTATATTACTATCCCAAGAAAAATACATTGAGAAACTTCTTAAGAAGTTTGGGTATTATGATTTCAAACCCGTGAGTACCCCTTATGATGCTAACTCTAAATTAATGAAAAATATAGGAGAACTGTTATCTCAGCCTCAGTATGCCCAGATAATTGGGAGCTTACTACACTTGATGAACTTTTCTAGACCTGATATTGCTTATGTAGTAGGTAGATTGAGTAGGTACACTCAATGTCCAAATCAAGAACATTGGGATGCACTTTCCAGGCTTATGAGATACTTATGAGGTTCAATGGATTATGCCATTGAATATAGTGGATTTCCCACTGTACTAGAAGGATACAGTGATGCTAACTAGATCTCTGATTCAGATGAGACAAAATCCACTAGTGGTTATGTATTCACACTTGGGGGTGGTGTGATTACATGGAGATCAGCTAGACAAACAATTATTACAAGATCAACAATGGAATCTGAGTTTGTGCTCTTGAGATGGCTGATAGTGAGGCTGAGTGGTTGAAAAACTTCTTAGCAAACATTCCACTACGGATGAAACCAACCCCATCGGTGTCAACACACTGTGATTGCCAATCGGCAATATCTATAGCTAAAAACAAGAATTACAATGAAAAGAATACACATATCCAATTGAGACACAATTTGGTGAAGCAACTGCTAAAGAGTGGGACTATTTCCATCGACTATGTGAAGTCAGAACAGAATCTAGCATATCCTCTAACAAAACCCTTGGGAAGAAATATAATTTTAGAAACATCGAGGGGAATGAGACTTAAGCCACTAGCAAACAAACAAGTGATGGTAACCCAACCTTTGTGATTGGAGCTCCCATGAATAAGATTCATATGGGTAAAAACAAGTCACTTGTTAGTTCTGATAGCACTAATTTGATTTTAAATAAAATATGTTCATTCCTATGGTGTGTGTGAAAGTGTTAAAGACTGCATTATTGAGAGGTTAAACTTTGTAATTAAACAAAGTTTTTAATGATCTTTATATCCCTTATGGGTGGTGTATGATTTGCATCATACACTTGATGAAATCACCTATATGAGTGTCAAGTGGGGCCTCTTGCATGAGATCTTGGCATGATTTCTAGAGCACTCATGAATATCGTGCACGTGCATGGCCTAGTAAGCGCATCACAGCGATAACAGCAAGAATTGTGGGGTGTATTGTGATTGATAAACCTCTAACACACTCAAGTATTTTTGGTTCATATAGCTTGTTATACCAACTATACTGTGTGTTAAGTTTCTCAATCTAGGACTGGTTCATATAGCTTGCTATACCAGCTCTGATGCATTCATCTTATAAAACCCAAGATTTTTCTTCTTTGTTTCTTTTAATCATTGTTTCTTATCTTTTACAATATGTGGGGGATTGTTATTATTTTTAATATAAAATTGCAAAAGATATGTTTAGTAAAATGCGGAAGATTTTTATGGGCTTTGACCAAACTGTGATATGCACAATAGCCTTCCGAAAGTCTCGAGCTTCCACGTCTTCCGCAAGCCTAGTGTGCTTCTAACGTTTGCTTAATGATTTCCCCACAAGGCACGTTGCATACATTTATATTTTAGTTTCAACGTTCTCTTTATTTTACGGGATATTTTCCTTCTTTAGTGGGCACGTTGGCTCTCTCCCAGCTCTATAAATATAGCCTCCCATCCATTCTGAAAATCATGATCAGAAACTCTTCTCTATTTCTTTCTCTTTTCTTCTTTCCCTACAAATATTATGGGTTTATTTTATTCTTTTTATAGAGATCCTTGCTAGTTCTAAGATCCTCAGAAATTCTAAGAAGTTCATATTGTATCATGGGGAGCTTACGCAATACAATGTGGATAAGTCCTTAAGGACAATGATCTACACGCCTTAGGAAATCTTTTGTTCATGATCTTTGTTCTTTATTGTTAGCTTTTACAACATGTATTTCTTTGGCGATGATCATCTAGTGGGTGTGAGCAGAGCTAGAGGATGTATCCGTTGAGCAAGCTTTAGGCGGAAAGACTTCAGATATGTAGTGTTCTTAGACTGTTTTTGTTTCTTGATGGACTTTAGATACCCTAGTGTTGTATATAGTTTTGATATTATTACTCTTTATGTATAAGGTTATTATTATAGTTTTCTTTGGAAGATGATTTTATACTTCTTATCCATCGTGTCAACTGATCTATCATATTAAATATGTGCTGACTATTATATAGTTACATGCTATATTTTGGAATGTTACACATATTTTCTTATAACTTTATTTTAAAATTTTGATAATCGTTTTTATGTATTAGAATGAATAATAAGTTTATAATATACAAATGAATATCTTTCATTTTAGTTTTTAGTAAAACAACCAAAAATGATTAGATTATATCATTAGAAGATCACCGTAGCTTTTCTAAATGAAAAAAATTGAAGAAGAAAAGTAAAGTAACTAGGAAAAAATTGAATATGATTAATTAGTTCAAGAAGTTTATAAATACAACATACTATTTGCATTAGAAAGAAGTGTTGTGAAATAAGGAAAATGATACATAGGGTGTGTGAGGTTTAGAAATTTTTATTAATGACATCAATGTGTTTTCGAATTACATTATTTGAGTGCATGACTTAAAAATGTGAGTTTTCTGAAAACATGTATATTTTTCGAATACTCTGTACAAATGTGATTGTGATTTGTTCCGTTAGAAAAAAAAAATCAAATATAAATAATAATAAAATAATGAAAGATAGATATGAAATTGATAAAGTCAAACAATTTTTATAATAAAAAATAAAAATATAAAATAAAACTGTAGATGAGGAAAAAAAAAACAGTCTAGATTGATACACAGTCTTATAGAAAATGTTTGAGGACAAGACAAAATATTATATGTTTTTTTCCAAAATATTATAATTAGTCAAATCCATCGAGGTAATTGTTCTCTTGAATTTCATGAACATCAAAACTTTTAAAAGACAATAAAGAATAGAAACTAAAAACAATTTTATATAAATTATTATTTTGTTGCTGCTTTCCTTGATGCAAAATAGGTAATATTTATAAACATAAAATAATAAAATATGAGCAAATTATAATAAATTTTATTAAATAAAATAGTAATTCATAATAAAGTTAAAATATCCATAAAATTAATAGTCCATAAAACATTATGAACTATAGGATAATTTATTTATTCATTTATTTTTAAATTATATTAAATATTTTTAACCATGATTTAAAAAGTAGAATAAAATAAAATATTGTATTTGACGGTAAGGAACTTTATAGAATTTAGTCTTAGTACTTATAAATTTTCATAAAAAAAGTGCAAAGACTTAGTTATCTTAAGTTACATTTTTATAATCATGTTTTATTAAATAACACATATACATAATTGTCATTAAATTTATTAAGAGGTATTTTAAAAAATAAACCTAATATATATAATGACAGTTTTTTCTTTATTCGAATAACTCAGTTCTAGCATCTAATCCTTTTGTCCCGTCTAATTTCGGCAGCTTCCAATTGTATTCCATAACATTATACACTCTATTCTTAATCTTTCTTTTCATTAAAATACTGAGTTACCATAGATTATACATAAATTTTTCGGTAATACTTTGTCTATATTAAGGTTTTATAGTTTGCTTATTTATAAGTATAATTACTCTTCAACTTTTCCGTTTTTTTACTTTTATTACGAATTCATCTTCTTCCTAACAAAACATTGCATATCAAACTTGAAGTGAATGACATTTATTAGTATTAAGCTTTTATTTATTTTTTAATAGTAATTATATATATTATGAATTTTCATTGAATGAAAACTTGTAATCACAAGACAATTTTATCTAATGAAAGCTAACTTATAGTCGACGGAAAATTTTAATTTTTTACTTTTTATAAAACTTAAATTATATTATTTTGAATAAAATATTCTCATAATATATCATATTTTAATTTCTTATTCAAATAATATATTTGATGATTGACAAATGTTATTAAAAATGTAAAAGAAATTTATTTTCTTTTTAAACATAGACCGAATCCGAGTTACCGGAAATCGCAAGCATATTTAAATTCTTATGTGATCAAAGTCTAAAAACTAAGCTATGAAAGAAGCGTGTTGAATTGATTCAAGAACGGAAATAAACTAATTACATAATTAATATATTACATTAATAAATTAACAACTTTTCTCCAACTTACGTCTTTGTTTTATTTACATTTAAATTTGTGCCATCTTATTTTTTAAATTGAATTTTAAAAAAAAAATTGTATGGCTTAATACCTATATCTGTTTATCAATATAAATATATTTTGCAAATAATCTCTAAACATTAACTTATTAATCAAATATTTCAAAACAAAGTATCATTTTTACATATTAAATTATTCAATTACAATCGATAACTACAACTTATAACTATTTACTGATTAAATAATAATTTTATCATATATTTAAATCCCACACAATAAAGAAATTAAAGTACTTTAAATTATAATTTTGTATTTAAATTTTAATTCAACAATTTTAATATTTAATACATATAATATAAAAATAAAAGAAGTCCCTGCATTCATTTGTGACCAAATGGATTAACAATAAAAGACAATACCTATTTTTTCATTCCTACTTACAATCTAACTCAATTTCATTAAATCGAATTGAAAGATGATAACTGAACTTATAAACTATTATTGCTCTTCTTGTCAACAACACTGACAAAACGTACTTTTATGTTACATCTACGTTGCTATTCAATGAATTTCATTCCTAATACTAGCTAAGAACAATCTCAGTTCCTTGGTTTTCTGCTTGTGTTCAACAGACATGTCATTTTCTGAATCACTCAAATTAATCACTTCGATATTTTGGTCACTTGGTTGCAGAGATTTTGAGAGAGAAATGATTTTTTTAGGTGGGGAAGGGCTCAGAAGATCTATGATCTCATTTTTACCTGTAGTGGAAACTTCCTTATTGGTAATATATAAGTTGCTAGTATTCTGAATCAACCCAGTGTGTTCTATGTCATGTGATAGATGCAACAAGTCTTCTGTATTAAGATCAGCTTCATCAGCCATAGGAGTTGCAATCCTTGATACCCTTTCTGAAGAATCACAGGCATTGAAGTTGTCTTGATCTCTCAAACTATTATCAAGCAACAAATTCTGAAGCTTTAGATCAAGCTCAGCAAGAGATGAATTAGTTTCCTTTTTCTTTGGTCTTCTTTTCTGATTATTTTGTTTCTTCCGTTGAGCTTTTCTTTCCTCAAACTCCAAAATCTTCTCACGGCAGGCACTGTGAATGATTAATAATGAAACAATAATGAAAGACAGCCTAAAGAAATACACACCAGCCAAGTTGAATTTGAATGTTCAAAAGACACAGCTCAAGTTGCAAGCAAGCAAAACATAAATTTGATAATAAGATAAAATATCATAGCATTACCTTTCTATAAGATCTGCAGGGACTATTGAAGTTTCTAGTCCATCCATTCCTTCCCAAGAAACCTCATAGCATTCTCTCCCATGCACTCTTCTGCTCTTGATGATTTCTGAGACAGGACACTTTACAGGGATCTGTGGTAGGATATACATTAGATTCATGGATATACATATCCTGGTTCAGAAAAAAGGAGCCTGGACTCAATTTCGCTTAAGTTTGGATTGAATAATGAATAGAAGGAAGTGAAAATGAATGGATTTAGGAAGAAAGGTAAAAGTCAGAATGTTTGGATTAAAGAAAAAGTGAAAAGTTAAAGGAAACAAAAAACAATTATGAATGGTTTAATTAATATGGATGATACAATTATTATAAAAATATTATACTTTGAAATAAAAAATATATATTAAAAATATTAAATTTAAATAATTAATTTTATTTATTTTTGTTAGATGTTAAGTTGTGTGTTTACGTTAATTGGGCTTAGCCCACATTCTGTATTTAGGGTTTAACCCTTATCTTACATTATAAATAAACTACCCTATGTGTATGCTAAACACACAAGGGATATTTTCTCCCAATCTTCTCTATTTCTCATATGGTATCTAGAGCACAGGAATAGTTCCAGTCAACTCCACGGTCTCCGGCACCCATCACTGCCGCTGTCGCTGCCGTCGCCGCTGCCGCCGTCGTAGCCGGAGTTCCAGAATCGACCGGCGACCACACCATCGGAATCGTCTCGGCCGGGCGACCACCGTGGTACGAAGATCGCGGCGAACGGACCTCCCACACGCCTCCACGCGCCGCCGCAAGAGTCGCCGCTGCCGCCGCGCGTGCCGGCGCGTCGCCG